TTGCTTGATATATTTTTTCCATCCTTTGAGTTTTAGTTTGTTTGTATTTTTAAGTCTATGGTGTGTCTCTTGTAGGCAGCATATAGATGGATCATTTTTTTAATCCAGTCTGCCACTCTCTGTCTTTTTATTGGTGCATTTAGTCCGTTTACATTCAGCGTAATTATTGATAGGTATGAGTTTAGTGCTGTCATTTGATGTCTTTTTTTGTGTGTTCACAGTTTCTTTGTTCCACTTGATTTTCTGTGCTGAGTCATTTTCCTTTATGTATTTTCTTTTCATCTTTTTCATTGTTGATTTTGTCTTTGCTGAGTCTTTATATTTTTCTAGTTTTTTATTTTGATGTGTAGGATTGTTAGTTTCCTTTCTTTTTACCTTAATATTAACCCCCTAGTCTTCTAAGTTTATACCAGTCTTTTATTTCTATTTCTATTGCCTTGACTTCCTCTCCATATGAAATCTATGTCTGCATTTTTTAAGTCCCTCTTTTTTGTTTTAATGTTGTCATCTTTTACATATTGACATTTTTCCCTATTTTCAGTGTTTTACCTTTAATTTACTTTTGTGACTTCCCTATCTTGGTTGATATTTCGTTGCTCTGTCCTGTGTTCTAGTCTTGGATTCTTATGTGATGTTACTGATTTTCTAACCAGAGGACTCCCTTTAGTATTCCTTGTTATTTTGGTTTGGTTTTTGCAAATTCCCTAAACTTCTGTTTATCTGGAAATGCCCTAATTTCACCATCGTATTTGAGAGACAGTTTTGCTGGATATATAATTCTTGGCTGGCAGTTTTTTGCCTCGAGGCTTTATATATGGCATCCCATTGCCTTCTTGCATGCATGGTTTCTCCTGAGTAGTCAGAGCTTATTCTTACTGACTGTCCTTCGTAGATGACTTTTCATTTATCCCTAGATGCTCTTAAAATTATCTTTTTGTCTTTGGTTTTGGCAAGTTTGATTACAATATGTCTTGGTGACTTTCTTTTGGGATCTACCTTATGTGGGGTTCGATATCAGGGAAGTTTTCTGCCAACAAATCTTCAACAATTTTCTCTGTATTTTCTGTTATTCCCTCCACCCCCGTCCTGATACTCCAGTCACTTGTAGGTTATTACTCGTGTTAGAGTCCCACATAATTCTTAGGGTTTCTTCATTTTTTTTAAATCCTTTTATCTGATTTTCCTCAAATAAGTTGTGTCAAGTGCTTTATCTTCAATCTTACTAATTCTGAATTCTATTGCCTCAATTCTGCTCCTATGACTTTCTACTGAGTTGTCTAATTCTGAAATTTTATTGTTAATCTTCTGGATTTCTGATTGCTGTCTCTCTGTGGATTCTTGCAGCCTGTTAAATTTGTCATTATGCTCTTCTCTAATCTTTTTAATTACCTCTATTGCATTTTCTGCCTTAATTTCCTTCCTAATTTCTTAATGAGTTCTGTATATTAATATTTTGTATTCTGCCTCTGGTAATTCCAAGAAATTTTCCTCTTCTGGAAAATTTCTAGATTCTTTAATCTGGGAGCTTGCTGAAGCCATCATGGATTGCCTCTTTATGTGATTTGATATTAGTCTCTAAGCCATCAATAAGTTATTATAGTTATTTATTTTATGTTTGCTTACTGTGTCCTAGCTTCTTGTTTTGTTTTGGTATGCCCAAATAGGCTGCTCATATGAGCTATTTTGATTATTGGCACCTTTGAAGCTCTAATGTCCTGTCACCAGGTGGTTAGATCTGTTACTAGGTAGGTGAGCTCAGGAGTCCGCCCACTCTTCCTGTATGGATTCAGCTCAGTTGCCCAGGTAGATGGCTACCGAGTGTGTGGTGTAGGCTCTCACTTACAGTCCTACATAAGCATGGGTGATTGGTGTAGGCACAGGCCTCTGGCTGCAGCTGGGGGACACACTCTGAGCAAGGCAGGGGGCTGACGGCCATCCCCAAGTGTCCAGGAGGAAGGCATGTCCCTGTTCCCTAGATTGCGTAGGTGGGTGGGTTTTGCAGCTGGACTATGAGCACCTAATGCTGTTGGCTGTAAGGGCTAGGGGGCACCTCTTATTCATGGGCCCCTGTTGCAGGTGGCTAGGTGGTGTGGGTGGAGCCACCAGTCCTCAGTCCCCTGATGTGGGTAGGTGAAGACCCTGCTTAATGGGCACAGCAGTGTCAAGTGTCAAGAACCTGCAACTTCACAGCTGAAACATTTGAAGTTAGAGTTCCTGTATATACCCTTTTTTACTGGGGTAATGAGGGCCTACACTGTTGAGATGTTCCCACACAAGTCTATGCAGCAGAAAAGGCACTCAAAGTCCATGGGTCCCTTATGCCTGTGCCTAGGCAAAGGAGCTGTGCCTACCCAGGGTTCCTGGCTTAGGGGAGCTGGCAGTTTATTTTTTCCCATTTTTTGATTTGTTCACTCTCCAAGCCAGGGAGAATGCCTCAGGGCGTGTGACGGATCCTACCTCTGGCCCAGAGGACTCGGCAGTTGCTGAAGCCGGTCCGGGACTAGTGCAGAGCAGAGAGTGGGGAGGTAATTGGGAGACAGGTTTCTCCCTAAGGGGGGTGTTTTTGATCCACACGGTAAGCTGTACACAAGTACTTATCTTTCGCCAATGACGGCTGCTTCTCACTAGTTCTGGGTGGCCATGTAGACTCTCTGGTGCCAGTTCTCTCCCTGTGCGGAAAACGCACCTCCCAAGCACCACCGCTTGCCTGTCTCACTGCTCACGCACAAGCTGCTCAGGCCTGAAGGGCTCAGGCTCTCGCCGGGTCAGGTCTGGCAACTCCTCGCTGCTTCCAAACTGTCTCTCCCTCCCCCTGCCACTCAGTCCGGTTCCTCAGCTCTGCCTTTGATGTCCAGGGCTCCCAGATTACCATATATAATCAAATCACTTGTTTTTTTGGGGTCTTTATTGTGAGAAGTTCCACCAGAAGCGTCTGACTACTCTGCTATCTTGGCCCCGCCTCCTACATTGCACCTTTTAACTGAGGTAGCTTGACTCATATTTGGTGTTTGTATCCTTCATTTGGAGTCCCTGAGTGGCAAAACAATTACGTACTCAACTACCAGCTGAAAGGTTAGTGGTTCAAACCTTCCCAGAAGCACCTCGGAAGAAAGACCTGGCAATCTGCTTCCAAAGGAGCACAGCCATGAAAACCCTATGGAGCACAGTTCTACTTGGCACATATGGGATTGCCATGAGTTGCAACTGACTCAGTGGAAACTGGTTCTTTTGTTTTTGTCCTTTATTCAGAGTAGCTGGAATACTTCTAGCCAAACCCTACATGACCTTTTGGAAAGCACAGTTCAGATTACAAATCTCAAACCATTATCATGATATCCTTATAAAGAACTTGAATTTACCTTTTAAGAATTTTATTCAACAAATACCAGACACGAGGGAGGTGGTCAGTGAACAAGATAGAAATAATTCATGGTCTTTCCGCTACACCAAAATCTAAAGTAACTCTTGGAAAACATAGGTCAGGTTATAAGTTAAATGGTTCTAGTTTCTTGAGGAAGAACATATCATGAATTTAAGTTTGAACTGCTATAGGAATGATTTTATGAAGAACCTTGGTGGTGTCATTAAAACAGTAACCAGTTATAAATGTACCTGCTTGTCTAGGGTTGTCGGGGAAGCGTGATTGGGGTACCTAGTTGTCAAACGTTGAGATGTGCTTCAGTCTATCTACGTGCTTTCCTTACATTTCAGAAAAATCTTCTACAACAGACTAAAAATATTCCCCCGTTCTTACAAAATGCATTGTGTTAAGGCCTTACCTTCTTAGATTAAGCTGGAACTGTTTACATGGTGAGTGTAGCAGATCACAGCTGGGCAGAGCACTCATTGTCTTAGAGGACTATTCAAGGGAACCAATTCACAGTATCTGAAGGAGCAAGCAGGCAGTTAGCCTTCATTCCTTTGCCTCTGCAATGAAACTTCTAGACATTTTTGTACAAGGGTACTTGAGCTCTGAGATTCCTTTTCTAGAACATTATTTGGTGATGACTAGTAGAGCTGACTCTCCCTGAGAACACCCTGAGCTGTTATCTTAGAGTAGCATTGTGTATAATATGGTACTACCTCCATCCTCACCTGCCTAGACAACCATAGCCCATGGCTGTGAGAGCTAAGCGCAGTCAGAAACTGCAACCCTTGGGAGAAGTGCATCACTCTCCCTTTCCCAGGCCTCCCTCCATGCACCACACGCCTGGACATTCAAAGTCCAAAGACTTGCTGATATTGTCATTTGGTCAGAGTGCCACTGGCAATGGTGTAGGTGAACATTTCCTCTGGTTCTGTGATTTTATAAACTATCATGCAGATAATGATAATTGGGGTGTCTTGGCCAACTCTGCCCCTTTCCTAATGAAGAATCCAACAGTTAAGTGCACAGACAGTGGAGGTACCTTTCTGGAGCCTGTTCTAAGCAGTGACAAATACTATGATTTTCCTTTCTTGGGCTTTAATAAATTTCCTTTCCTGCCTGCCTCCTCCTGTAGGAACGAAAGTTTGTGGGCGGATCCGGTCAGGTGAGCGAGCGGATAATGGACCTTCTTGGGGAACGAGTGAAGCTGAGCTGTCCTGTTAGCTATGTTGACCAGTCGGGCGAAAACATCATCGTAGAGACATTAAATCATGAAGTCTACGAGGTAACTTAATTTAATTGAAAGGAGTGTATATTGAATAGGCATTGTGTCTTCCGCAGCTTTTAATCAAATAGAATCCAAGCAGTGGCAGAATTACTCCTGGCATATTTCCGACTCAGTCTTCCAGTTATCAGCCTCAGTTGACTTGCCTTGTTCTGTTTTGTTAACCCACAGTTGTCTCATTTTGTGTGTTGTTGCTGCTCCCTGTCATTTCAAATGATAAGAATGATGTTTTATCCCCTCCGCAAAGACTCACATTTTGAAGTGTTATTTTGTGTCTGTGTGTTTTAGTGCAAATACGTGATAAGTGCCATCCCGCCAGTTTTGACTTCCAAGATACACTTCAGACCAGAACTTCCACCAGAAAGAAACCAGTTAATTCAGCGTATTCCGATGGGGGCCGTCATTAAGTGCATGATGTATTACAAGGAAGCTTTTTGGAAGAAGAAGGGTAGGCTGCTCTTGTTCATATTTAAATTATTACGTAAAGGAACCACACTCTTTTAAGAACGTTGTGCTAGGCACGGAAAAGAAAAAGTTAAGTGTTTTCAAATTGGTAAAGAGAAAGGATCAGAAATCTTAGTCCATAGATTTCCTCATATCCCCTTGCAACACAAAATGATCCCAAGAGCACATGTTGGCAATGGGAAGAAGGAAGAGATCACGCCAACTGTGGGGCCTCCATTGCCCTGGCTCCTCACATATATCCTGCCACTTCCTCTTCATGAACAGAGTGAGGCAAAAGGGCACCGTGGAAAGAGAGCTGCTTTTGAAGTTAGACATTCCTGGGCTTCACTGGCTTACTGGCTGTGTGACCTCAGGAGGGACACTTAACCTCTCTCAGCATCAGTCTCTTCATGTAAAATGGTGACAGTAATACTTGCTGTGCAAGGTGTCACAAGGTGTAAATGAGACAGAGGCTGGGACATAGTAGGCTCTCAGGATACAGGGGCTACTGTTAATAAGCCTTCTGTTCATGCTCACGGGATTCCTTCCCACCACACCTTCCACTGGTGGACAGGGCAATTCCCTTTAACATATCCCTTCTCTTTTTCCATGTATTCCAGAATTCCAGGGCCATCTTAACATTTTTGTCATGTATTGTCATCAGCCCTTTATGTAAAGATCACAGAGATAGATCATTTTCCATGTGTCTGGGTGGATAGACATCCTTGTATAGTGAGTGTATGTGCTTAATAGGAAATAGCTTTTGGATTGGAGGAAAAAGTTTTAAGGTTTGCCTTCTTCATAGCAAAATAGTTTGTGTGTATGTGTGTGTGTGTGTGTATTTTTTTTCCCTTAAGTCTCTGAAGAGGTTGGTCTCACTCTACTATTGATTTTCTGCTGGTTAAGATTACTGTGGCTGCATGATCATTGAAGATGAGGAAGCTCCAATTTCAATAACCCTGGATGACACCAAGCCAGATGGATCACTGCCTGCCATCATGGGGTATGTTAGAGCTGGGTGCTCTGCATTTTCCAAATTGTGTTGGGGTGCTGGTGTAGGTGCTGGCAGAGATTTATTGTTTTAGAATCAAGCTAAAGCAATGATAAAAGAACCTTATAAAATTTATCGTATTTTCATGTATTGAAATAGTGCAGTAATGTTTTGTGTGTGACACAAGAATCCAAGGAAACTTTACTAAAATCGACACCATTTTCCCCCATAAAACTTATAAATGTTGACGACAGAATGAAAAAGTATCTAGACAGACAGTATGGTAGACAATTTTGCCTAGAGGCAGAATGTCCACAATCATTCTGGAATGAGAACTGTTTTATCCTGTAAAACCTTCAGAATTTAGGGTTTCTAGGCTTTATCCTTTTCTCCATTGCAAACATCTGCTAAATAGCAGATGGTAGATTCCCTGAGAGAGAAGATGGATGGCAAGTTAGTAGTCACACTTCTAAATCGAGCCAGGCCTGAGTGGATGGCACTTCTTTCAGCAGGTCACTATGCAGCTCTCCTTGACAAGCATTGCTTCCCTTACCCTCTAAAGTGCAGTCTGGTCTAGAGCGTGGTTCTCTGTAGGGAGGAAGAGAGCTCTTTCCCTTTCTTCCCATCTCTGCCCAGATGTTCTGCCCTTAAGGGATTAGGGATACAGAGAAGGAAATGAGACCTCCACAAAAGAGTCACTAAGCAGTGACACAGCCTCCCAGTTGCCCTGCCTTTTTGCCATTCTCAAAAACCATATAAATAAAGGGGCTGTTTGTTCTCCATAGCACCACAAAAGAGCACAGCTTCTGTAGCAGGCAAGTGAATTTGAGAGGTCAGTGGTTTTTTCCTTCACCCCTGGGAAATGCATACCTCATGTCTTCTCAGGGACAGAGGGGTGAGTTGAGCTCATGAGCGTTGCATCACTGAAGGAAAATTACAAACACAAAGTAGCAGACCCGTATCCCAAGGGACTTACAAAGCAGCTGTGACACTGGGCTGCTAACAAGACATTCTGTAATCATGTCTCTAGTTGTAAAATATAGGAAATGACACCAGCCTGCCTGCAAAGACCAGGGGCGTACCACATAATGACCATAGAAGCAACACATCCTCTTCATCTTTAACCCCACTGGGCAAGAAAGGATACAGATTGCTTTGGCATTTTGACACCATCTGCTTTATACCAAAAGGAAGCAGGAGGTTGAGGTCTAGGTTTTCAGAAAATATCAGTCAAGACCAATGCAATTATGGATGGAAGAACATTGCTATTCTTCTTGCCCTGGGAATTAAATAGTGGCATCTGCCTTTCTGTTCTTTCTTTGGCTTTATAACTAGAACATTGTATGGCAGGACCCTTCCAGATAGATGTTAATGGCATTATTTAGGTAGTTCCTAGAAGAAGCCCTGGTTGCATAGTGGTTAAAAGCTCAGCTCCTAACCTTCCCCCCTCCACCCCCCCAAAAAAAAGCCGGCAGCTCAGATCCACCAGCCGCTCCTTGGAAATCCTGTGGGGCCGTTCTACCCTGTCCTGTAGGTCGCTATGAGTTGGGATCGACTCAGTGGTGATGGTTTTTTTTTTTTTTTTTTTTTGGGTAGAAAGTGATATTCTTATCTGTTTTATATGGACAAATGCCTCCACCCTGCTGTTTGCTCTTGACAAGGAAAGTCTTGAAAATGTATTGCCTCCACCCTCCTCTTTGCTCTTGATGAAAGCCTTAAAGATAGGCATGGTAATTGCTCAGCACTGTTTGTGATAGCCAGCACCTTTTGGAAACTGGAAAGGACCTTGTACTTCAGAACTGTAACATGTACCCAACACAAAGCCAGTATGTGAATTGCCCCAATAGAACACTGAAGAAAGTTAAAGAGAATTTGTCCATAGTTATAGTTACATAAAAGAGGTTATGTCGTTTGTGGTTTGAGATTTGACAGAAATAGCCAGCCCTTTGAAAAAGGAACTGTAAAAAGCACGCAAGATGAGTTGACTAAAAAGGTTTCCAGATAAATTATTTTAATCTTTCATCATATATTCATTTTCATTTAAACACTGCATAAATCTAAAATTAGTGATTCTTGCACAAACCTAAATTTAACTAAAATCATTAATAGCAAGCTATAACATATATGTTAAATAAAGCAAAATTATGAGTATATCCCATAAAGTCAATGATTCAAAATTTCTTAAGCCACTTCAGGAGCCAGCATATGATCAGGAACCGATGGTATTGAAAGAAGAAGTCCAAGCTGCACTGAAGGCATTAGGCATTGGTGAAAAACAAGGTTCCAGGAATTGGCGGAATACCAATTAAAATGTTTCAACAAACGGATGCAGCCCTGGAAGCACTAACTCCCCTATGCCAAGAAATTTGGATGACAGCTTGAGATCCATATTTGTGCCCATTCCACAGAAAGATGATCCAACAGAATGCAGAAATTATTAAAAAAAATCATTAATATCACACACAAAATTTTGCTGAAAATAATTCAGAAACATTTACAGTAGTACATTGACAGGGAACTGTCAGAAATTAAAGCCAGATTCACAAGAGGACGTGGAGCAAGGGGTATCATTGCTGATGTCAAATGGATCTTGGCTGAAAGCAGAGAATACCAGAAAGATGTTTACCTGTGTTTTATTGACTATGCAAAGGCATTCAACTGTGTGGATCAAAACAAATTATGGATAACATTACAAAAAATGGGAATTCCGGAACACTTAATTGTACTCATTTGGAGCCTGTACATAGACCAAGAGGCAGTTGTTCAAACTTGTTCAAACAAGGAGATACTGTGTGGTTTAAAATCAGGAAAGGTGTACATCAGGGTTGTATCCTTTCACCATACTTATTCAGTGTGTATACTGAGCAAATAATCCAAGAAGCTGGACTGTATGAAGAAGAACAGGGCATCAGGATTAGAAGAAGACTCATTAATAACCTGCGTTATACAGATGACACAACCTTGCTTGCTGAAAGTGAAGAAGACTTACTGATGAAGATCAAAGAATACAGCCTTCAGTAGAGATTACGCCTCAACATAAAGAAAACAAAAATCCTCACAACTGGACCAATAAGCAGCATCATGGTAAACAGAAAATATTGAAGTAGTGAATGATTTCAATTTACTTGGATCCACAGTCAACGTCCATGGAAGCAGCAGTCAGGAAATCAAATGACATATTGCATTGGGCAAATCTACTGCAGAAGACTTCTTTAAAATCTTAAGAAGCAAAGATGTCACCTTGAAGACTAAGGTGTGCCTGACACAAGCCATGATATTTTCAATCGCCTCATATGCATGCAAAAGCTGGAAAATGAGTAAGACAGAAGAATTGATGCACTTAAATTATGATGTTGGCAGGGAATATTGAATATACCATGGACTACCAGAAGAACGAACACATCTATCTTAGAAGAAGTACAGCCAGAATGCTCCTTAGAATGGAGGATGGCGAGATTTTGTCTCAAGTAATTTGGACGTGTTATCAGAGGGGACCAGTCCCTGGAGAAGGACATCATGCTTGGTAAAGTAGAGGGTCAGCAAAAAAGAGGAAGACCCTCAACAAGATGGATTAACACAGTGGCTGCAAAGATGGGCTCAGACTTAGCAATGTTTGTGAGGATGGCGCAGGACTGGGCAGTGTTTCATTCTGTTGTACATAGGGTCACTATGAGTCAGAACCAACTCGATGTCACCTACCAAGAACAACAACATTTGATTACAAGGACACAGACAGATTATAATGGAGTTTTACTGAATTACTTAAAATGGGGACTGTGTTTAGTCAGTTTCCCAGGAAGTAGACTCTGAGGTGGAGATTAGGGTACAGGAGGTTTACTGGGAAGTGCTTACAGGTTCACCACCTGTGGGAGAGAGATGGGAGTAGGATCGGGTAAAGGGAGAAGTTAGACTGCAGTGTTGTCCCAACAAAGGCCTCAGCAATCCATGAGGCACTCTGGAGCTGGGATGACCCTTCAGAGTTGTCCTTAACTGAGACAGCTTTGTACCCACCCCACCCCAGGGCCAATCACTGGGTGAGGACTACCCCTAGGAAAGGGTGGGACCTTGAAAAAGGCAGATCTCTGCTGCAGAATGCAGTTGCCAGGAAAGAATTCAGCTTCCAGCTAAGGGACCTGATTGCCTTGGTCCTGAAGGAGCATCTGGGTGGTGCACTCTGGCATCCATTGTAGGCATGCACTTACATTTGTCTTTCCAGCTTTTATCAAGTATTTGGCAGAAGGCAAATAATGCAACATTAAGTCATCCAACATTTGGTTTCCTACTGTATGCCAAGAACTGTGGTAAACTTTGGGATAAAATATAGACTAGGAGGTAACTTGTCATTTCTGAGCCTACAGCCAAGCAGGGATTTTGGACACAGAGGCAGACTGAAGACAGCATGGATTTGCTCGCGGAGAAGGAAGTACTGGGAGGGCCCGGGGAGAGTCCATTAATGCTGAGTAGGTGGAGGCAAGAACACTTCAGAGACAAGGGGGAACTCTTAGGATGTGCAGCTGTAAACTTACTATTCAAATACAACCTCTCTCCCCAGGTTTATCCTTGCCAGAAAATCTCATCGATTTGCTAAACTTCATAAAGAAATAAGGTAAGAATTTACATCTGAAAAATATATAAAAGGTTAGCTTGACATTTTGTTAATTGCACTAACAGCAGTATAATAGCATTATGAGAAACCCAATAATTCACTAGTATTCTCAAAATCCCAACAATGTAACCTTTTTGTATTTTGCTATGGGCCCCTTGCCCCAGCCCTTGCCCTGCCCCTGTGCACATATTAATTTAATTTTACATATTTGTGTTCATTTTACAGTGATTGAGAGGTTGGGTTTCCCTGTAAGATGGATGGAGAAAAATCATAGAAAATGTTAAATGTGGAAACAGCTTTAGAGGCCAAGTCCTGATCCCCTTGCAAGGCCATTATGCCTTTTCAAAGGCTCTCTGGCATGTATTGTTTTCTAAGCATATCGATCTGTATGTATTTTAACTTGTAGCAACTTGTACACATAAAAGTAATCCCCACTGATTATGTAGGGCATATCACTGATGTTCCCTTTCCTGAAAGCTTCCTAGTATAAAACAGTTATCTTAGAACTATGGCTTTCTTGTCTTTCTGCCTTGCTGAATTTGTTTTGTTTTTTCTTGGAATCCTTTGTTCAAATAAAATCTTACCTGGAATGGTAAGCCTTTTAGTATCAGAATCATTTGGTTGTTGGGAAATATCTCTGAGAATTTCCAGGCCTTTCCTCCTTTAGGAAAAAAAAAAAACAAAAACCAAACCTGTTGCTGTGGAGTCAATTCCAACTCATAGTGACCCTATAGGACAGAGTAGAACTGCCCCATAGGGTTTCCAAGGAGTAGCTAGTAGATTCAAACTGCCAACCTTTTGGTTAGCAGCCGAGCTCTTAACCACTGTACCACCAAGGCTCCTCCTACATTAGAGTAGCCCCTAAATACTTTGCTAGCTACCCTTTGAAGAGGACTGATACACACAAGAGTCCCTGGTGGTGCAAACTGTTAACACACTCGGCTGCTATCAGAAAGGTTGAAGGTTCAAGCCCACCCCAAGGCACCTCGGAAGAAGGACCTCGAAGACCACTTCGAAAAGTGATCTACTTCAGAAAAATCAATCATTGAAAACCCTGTGGAGCACAGTTCTACTCTGACACGCCGGGGTTGCCATGAGTTGGGGTTGACTTGAAGGTACCTGGTTTTTAGTACACGCAAATACATACTTATTTCTCTCTAACAGGTTCTAAGCAGAGTAAATTAAACAGCAAATGTATTAGGAGGCCCTTGCTTTGAAAGTTACTTTGATGATTTTGCAAGTCAGGAAAAGACTACAGAACAAGTTCCCACATTTGTACACAGATTTGTTTATCTGAGCTGCCATGAGACTTGATGTCGGGAAGGGAACTATTTTAATGTCCACCTACTCACTCTATAGAGGGGGAGTTTGGGGTCCAGTGACAGGAAGTGATTTGTCCAAGGATCCACAGCTGGCTTGTGACAAAATCAGGAGTCACCTCTCATGCATACTCTTTCATTACAATGCTTTAAGCTTGACATTTTCTTTTGGATTTCCTGCCCCCCCCCCCCGACGCCTTTTTTTAATAGTAAAATAAACACCAGCCTGGATGTAGATACTGGTTATGTTTCCACACAGTGGCTGAACTTCTTAAAATTCCTTAGAACTCTCAGCATATCATTGACTAGAGCAGCAGTTCCCAGAACTGACTGCATCAAAATCTCCCAAAGAATGTTTTGAAAATATATTTTTCTGCAGATTGTAGGATGGGGCCTGAATGTTTGTATTCTTTAATAAGCTTTTAAGGTAATTATGATAAGCCTTCAGATTTAGAGATCAGGGTAAATTCAACTACAAGATGATTTGCACAGTGACCTCTTTTTGCCATTGTTTAAAATATGTTCTGTTATTTTTAGAGCCAAACTAATCAATCAGTGCATTGCTCCAACATCTTTCTCTTACAAATCTTTTCCAAAACTTAGACTTTAAAGGGAGGAAAGGAAGGGGAAAATAATTTCCTGATGTATTTATGCAACATGCCCTTGACTCACCTAATAATATGAACTACAGTAAATAACTGGCTTGTATTTCTGTTATAATTGGTTTTATCATTTATGAATGAAAAATTAACTACAGTGTAAGGTAAGTGTGGATTGGATTTTAGGTCTCACTCTGTTTTACTAAATACAACTGTGTGAAAATCAGTTAAGCATCATTAAGCTTTTCAGAATAATGATTGTTAATACTTTTATTTTCTAATTAACTCAAAATGTCTGAGTTATTCTTTCTAACACCCATGTGAAGTATGTAAGAATCAGTCATTTCTTTATAGTGTAGGAAAAAGTACCATACGAGGCTAAAGATCGACTTTGATTTAACAAATATTTATTGCACACCTACTACAGGCAGGATACTCAGAAGAGTAGAACCTTGACCCTGCCATTAATTAGCTGAACGATGTTAGACAAATCTCTTCAGCTCACAGAGCCTCTGTGAGGGACTTGGATTAGATAGAAACAGACTGGCAGACAGCAGTCTTGAAATTTCTTCCAGTTCTTTCTTTCCTTTATGATTTTTTAACTGTAGCATAAACAGCTCCTTGAAGGAAACCAAACTTTTACTGACTGTTCTGGAATTTAAATTCCCACCTAATAATGTTGTGTGACATCATCACATCAGGAATAGCATTTGCCTCTCCCTTAAAACCTTCCATGATAAAATGATAACCGTAAGCAGCATTTTATAATTTCATTTCTTCCTCCTGACTTAATGTTCTAGATTCATAAGAAGTTCTGGAAGTTACATAAATGGTGTGAAGATTTGAGTAAATTCATAAAGTTTTTATTTTGTTCCATATTATTCAGAGAAATTGGGGATATTTTTTAAAAACCATTTCAACAAAATTTTATCTTTTTAATGTATTTTATTAGTAATACGCCTACCCCACACACACACACACATTTGTGACCATTTGTCTCTTCAGCTTTAATGCTTGTTTACAGAGTTAAATTAAAACCTTTGCCATATTTTTTAGCAAATGTGTTTCCAGTTGGTTGTTAACCTTTAACAAATACTTTGGAGCACTTTCAATATTTAAACTATATGAAGACTAAAGAAGGTAAATATGAAAAGTATGTAAGTGGATCAGTGTGAACCTGTTCAAACAAATCTTGAAATAATAGAACCATTAATTTCTAAAATGGGTGATTTTAGTAAATTAGAACTTTTTTTTATTTAACCAAGAGTAGTTGTCCCAACTCCCCCGACCCTGATTCAACTAAATTTAAATAAAACTCACAACACATGCATGCACACACACAAAAGAGTAGTTGTGAGTTTAAAATGTATCTTGTTTCAAGAAGGGCTTAGAAAAATTAAGCTACTGACGTCTAAGACCTAATACGTGCCCTGTTCTGTGCTAGTCTTTAAATAATGCATAAGAGAGGAACCAAAGACTGTGTTTAAGGTAACATCACATAACGCATCATACCCACCCACGGAATGCCCTTTGGCATCATACCCACCCTACAGACCATTCTGCCAAGTGCAAGGTTACTAGACTGTATCGACCATAGTCCTCTGCTAGCATGGCATATCTTACGCTATGCTTAAAAGATTAAATGAGCTTTACATGTTCATAGATATGTAGAACCCAGTGTAGAGTTGTTCAGAGACCCTTACCTTCATATGCACTGTCAAAAACCAAACTTGTTACCCTCGAGTTGATTCCAACTCACAGTGACCCTATAGGACATAGTAAAACTGCCCCATAGGGTTTCCAGGGAGTGATTTGTACTGCTGACCTTTTGGTTAGCAACCGAGCTCTTAACCACTGCACCACCAGGGCTCTAAAATAATAATTTTTAAAAATTCCTTGAATTCTACAGATTCCAGAAGAGTGACTTAGAATCAATTCCTAAAACTAAGTTTAATTTAATCTAATTTTCCTCACTTTAATCTCAGATATCCCACTGGGTAGTAAAAGAGGCATAATGCTAAAAAAATAATCTATTGAATCTTCAAATCAAATGACTGTATTGAGGCATAGAGGGTTAATTTGAATGCAGAAATTAGTGGAACTGTAGGTTTTGTGTAGCTATAGAAGGCCATTGATTTTAATCTTTCCTTAATAAATTTGATTCTGTGGCAAGAGTCCTGGAGGTGACTGTATTTATTCTATATCCACCAGTTATTACTTCTTCAGCATTTATTTTTTGTTGTTCTTTCTCACAGGAAGAGGAAAATCTGTGAGCTCTATGCCAAAGTGCTGGGATCCCAGGAAGCTTTACAAGTAAGAAGCTACCAGCTTTACTCACTAGCAGGTTCTGCTGTATTTGCTCTAAGTGGTAAAGCAAGGCTGTCTGGTTTCCTGACCGTCTCATGAAGACGGTATAAAGGGATATGCTTAACTTGAAGGATTAACTAGAGCTATTGCAAAAGGCTATTAAAATTTGATGACATACATCGAATTTCTGATGAAAGGATTCCTTTGGGCTGTAATGTTCACTGGATAACCTGCAGCCAATTGTAATTAGTGCCTGAAGCTGCAGGTATTATCTCAAGGTTGGGTAAGATGGGTCCCCAGAACAGAGGTCTTGCCCTTCTGTCAGTGTCAACTGGCTGCTGCAAAATAAAATCCCAGATATGTCATCATTTGTTCATAAAGGCACAATAGTGTATACCTGAATAAGATAGACTGAATCTAGATTCTCTTCCCATACTGATTTATTTTTTCCCTCTGTAGACTCAGTTCACAACTCATTTAAGGAATTTCAGTGCTTTCAGTCCACCACTGAAAGAAATTATGAGAATGAAATTATTCCTGAAGAGCCTACCAGATGGTTGTGGGGGCCATGTTGGGGCATTATCTGTGAACTTTACAAACAATGAACCTTCAAAGTGTGTTAGAGAAATCAAAGAAAATTCTTTCATGTCCCTTAGGAAACATTTTTCATCTTGTCCACTTTTTAGCAGAATTCCCATCATTCATTTTTCCAGCTTAGAGAAGTGGTTCTGAAAAAAACCTTTCTCAGACAAATGTGCTTAACTTTTACTTCCTCACTCCCTCCCTTTCCTCAGCAGTAATGGCTAGGTAGTTGGGGAAGTATATTTTGTTATTTGTTGATGGGGCTTCCTATCGGTTTAGGTCGAAAGACTTTAGAATCAGTATGGAGATGTCCTTTCTTCCAGTAATGGAATACTCCATGTCTTTCCTATTCAAGGGGCTGAGAAAAATAAAATTGTACCTCTCATCACTTGGTGCCTCACAAAAGGCCATTACTTGGTACTATCATGTTTCCCCTCAAATGAGTTGAGGGACTTCTTTTTTTGTAGTGTAAATTTTTATTAAAGTAAAATGCACAGAAGTCATCTTTGTTGACTGGCAGCATTTCAGCTTCGTCTTCCCTTTGGAATTTTCTCCCCACTCAACTGCAGCCCGTGTACTATGAAGAGAAGAACTGGTGTGAAGAACAGTACTCTGGCGGCTGCTACACAGCTTACTTCCCCCCTGGGATCATGACTCAATATGGAAGGTACTGCCAAAATACTACACTGATTAATAAAAGCCATGAACCAAACTTAAAAGAGAATCAAAGTTCAAAGAGAATTTTATAAATAGTAGTCATCATTCCTATTTCTAATATCTCCAATAGTCAGTTTGTATATCTCTGGAGGTCCATAGAAACATAAGTATGTATATACTGTTAGTGCATAGAACAATAGCTGAACATTGGAGAGGATTTGAGATGTCAGCAGTACATGTGAAAAAGAAGCAAGCTGCAGTGTCCACCAAGGGGCCTTCTTGAGCTCAACTAGACATTTAATCTCACATAACTACTTGGTACCAGCCTACTCAGAAGGATATAGTATAAACACATCATGCAAGCAGAGCAGCGACAAATATTCCTCTTCAGTGGGAGGAGTCCTTGCTGTATACAGCTAAGGTGTGAGGAGATGAAATCCACATGGGAGGAAGAGGAGGTCCACCTCGGTTTAGAAGCCCCATCCCCCTTAGGAGCAATTATCTCTTGTAACAATCTCATAGACATAGCATCTAGTGTCTCTACAAGGGACATACCCAGTTGCAAGAGTCACCACACTCAGGGAAGTCCAAAAAGATGCCCTAATGCCAGATATTTACATTTACATCTTTTACAGACCTCCCAGCCCAGATGCAATTTATCAGTGGAGGCAGGAGCTCATTTTTAGGGTTAGTAATGTTGCCTGGTAACATAGATGGCATTATACCTTTATCAGGTTTCCAGAGGACCAGAGCTAGAAAGTTAGCTCAAGGTCAGATCTGTTCACAGAGAAGCCCTTTCCTTGCATTAGCTTGTTTTTTAAGATACTTTTTTATTAATTAAATCAAATAGCCTTTTGTAGTGATAACAGGATTAATTTATTGGATTAGTCCTAGAATCAAAGTAGAAGTCTAAAAGATGGGGCTAGGATCAGCAATTGATGAAGCTAAGAATTCCTGAATTGGAAAAAGGGGTGACAGTGGGTTTAGGTGAAGGCCTTTGGGGTGGGAGTGTGCATCTTGGGAGATTTCATAAACGTGGCTGCAGACATGGCAGGAGGCAAAGCTGAGAAGGTAGGAGGGGACAGTTGCCCACTCAGCCCAGCCCTTCCTTGGTTCTCTTTGCCAAGACCTCTTTGTAAGAAGACAGACAATTCCCCTGTCCTCATCCAGTCCCCAGATAAGTTTATAGAAGCTAACTATATAGAGGTTATTTTTAAGGAGACAGACCCATATAATCCCTCAGGTCTCTCCTTTGCCAGAAATGATGGTTAATATCCCCTTTCTCCCCACCCCTACTCCGGGTTCTCCTGACACTGGGAGTGCCTGCAGGGTTGGGGTCTGCAGTCAGATGTGATCTCATGAAGGATGCAGCTCTCATCAAGGCCTGCATGGCCCAGCATAGGGAGCAGAATGGACCTCAGACAGGAAGTGCACAACAAATCTGATTATAGATTCAATGCATGTGCTTATATTATAACTGTGGCTGGCTTGGAAAAGGTCATCCTCACCTTTAGTGATTGATGATCTGACAGCCTGATTCCCTCTGGCTTGAAAGTTCAGATCCTTGGATGCAGGCCCAGGAAACAAGAAGTAGCTTTTCACCTTTGGCTGAACTTTGGGGGTATTTTTTTTTTTAAAACAATTTGAGTTTCTCTATCTTCTGTAGGGTAAACAAGGGCAATGATTGACTCATTTACCCTTAGCACCTTCCCGGGGAACTCAGTGTGACTTGTTTGTTCTTTTCAAGGGTGATTCGCCAGCCAGTGGGCAGGATTTACTTTGCTGGAACTGAGACAGCCACACAGTGGAGCGGGTACATGGAAGGAGCAGTAGAGGCCGGGGAACGGGCAGCTAGAGAGGTAAGGAGGAAGCCAAGTCCCTCTCCCTCCTGAGTCATAGCAGTGCTGCTGGCATCTGGTCTTCCTAGTTATTGACCCTGATAGAATCTGTCCACTTCTCTGCCCCTCACTCCTGGGGCTTCTCCACATCCAACAGAGCCTTGAATCTGTCAGAACTGCAGAGCCTCATTTCATAATACCCTGATCACTTTCTTTCAGATCTTGAATGCTCTGGGGAAGGTAGCAAAGAAAGACATCTGGGTCCAGGAACCGGAATCGAAGGTACGTTTGGCGGCTCCATCTACGTAGACCAGTAACCAAGTATAAAACTCCCATGTCATCTCTCTTCTACTAGCCTGTGATTTAATTGTAAATCCAGCTATCCAGGGAATATCCATGTGCTGATTTCTACAGATATATTTCATTCTTCCTTGTCAGTACAAGAGATTTCTGCTAATGCTGTGTTCATTCATCTAGGATGTACCATCTGTGGAAATCACCCACTCCTTCTGGGAGAGGAACCTGCCATCAGTGGGAGGCCTGCTGAAGATCATTGGCTTTTCAACATCAATAACTGCCCTGTGGCTTGTGGTATACAAATGCAAACTGCTGAACCGACCCTGAAGCTTCTTCCTCCTGCATTCTGCTGCCCTTTTCCCCGGCCCTATCACAAATATTGGCAAATCAAATGCTGTTAATTGGACCGTCTTTAAGTGCCCTAGATGTAACCCATCAGTTTAGTTTCCAGCAATGTTAAAGTAAAAACAACCAACAGAATCACCTAATTCATGTCAGTAAGACCAAGTTACATCTTATCTGTGTAGAATAACTCGTATTGTTGATTGAATAAAACCTTGTGAGCAATATCTTCATTTCACGAAATTAAAGTGCTTGTCAGAAACTATTTCTGTGTCCCGTTTTTCTCTCTGTTAATGCAAAATACCTAATGATTTCAGAAATAAAGCATTAAACTTTTCTTTCTATAGAGGTTGAGTAGGTTTAAAGGCCCAGCCTGTGAGTGTGCTTTTCCTAGTCCTTAGGAAGTGGTGAAGTGTAGGTACAGAGTCTGGAGGCTCAGAGCTTCCTGGGGTGAGCAGCCTCTGCTTTGGATCTGGGAATGATACTTGAAAGCATGTGGAGGTGGGGACACGCGGGCCCTCACACCAGTAGGAGGACATCTTGTGGGCTGCCATCTCGGGAATCTCCTGACCACTTCTAATTCCTGTGAATTTTCTAGACATCCAGTCTTAGTGTCAGCTTATTTGTATGTTTTCCTCTTTTGTTTATTAAAAAAAGAGTGTTTGCTGAGTTAGAATGCTGAAATTAATTGACTTGTGTCTTTAGGCCCCCAGGTGAGCAAAGTAAAATAGTGGTAGGACTGGCCCCCAGGAGACGTCTGTGACTAACTCTGCGTGAGACCAACTGCAGCAGGCATATTCTCTTCCTTGTGGAAGGTAGCTGGACATCAGTTCCCTCATTTTCAGTGATAACATTCTACACCCATTTCAGGAAAGCAGTATTATCCTTTGTTCAGGTGGATCCTGGCTATCTGAAGGTCCCTGGTGGCGTATATTTGTTCATTTTTTCAATAACCTTAGTAGAAGTGGGCAGATATTGTAACTTAAGTATGTCTTCAACGTGGTAACTTTTGAGGAAATATTAACATGCCAATTTCTCTCAAGTATTGAAACACATGAGAAATTTCTGATTGTTATTTGTTGAGATATCAAATAGAGAAAGGAAACAGGTTCTGTGTTTTAACCTCATTTGCTTTAGTTATTAAATTTTATAAGACATGAAATAGTGATTTCATATATGAAGACTATGTTATCCATCCTAGGAGTAATGGTGGGCCCAGAATAGTGCCCACCTCTTATCTCCCTATTTTAAAAACTGTCAGGTTTCTAAAAGTCTCTTCCAGATGTTTCAACCGTAAAATTCTTCATTAATATAAATAGCTGGAAAAAGTCAATACAGATGTGATCAAATAAAGCAATTGAGAAGATTCAATAGGTTTGGGTACACCTGTGGTATATATGCAGTAATTACCTTATTCTGCATCACTGATGAGTGAGACATTTCATTTTAAATGAAATTTCTAGATAACTGAAGCTTACTCTTTTATGTGCCAAGAATTTTAAATTAAAATGTTGATGGACATATTCTATACATTATTAAACTAGATTCATATCTTTATTATTCAAATTAATCATGTGCCTCAATTATTTTATACTTTTATGATACCATTGTTTTTGCCCCTGTACTAAATGTCCCAAAGTTGTTTTACAGCTGATGAGACTGCTGCTGCTCCTGGGTTCAGTGTTTTATTTCATATCCATTATTTCTCAATACCTCTTTACCTAATTTCCTATGTTTATTTAATGGAAATTAATGATTGCCAAATAAATGAAACCAGTCGATCAAATTTATTGCGTCATTAATCTTACAAGCCCGAAATTAGGCCGCTAGACTTTGGTATGCCTCTCTTAAGAGCAAAGAGCAGGATTTTTCGCTAACTTAGGAGTTTGGGTAATGTCTTGGGTGCGCTCCAGTACCTGAGGAGTTGCAGCATATTACCAAAATGCTTTGAGAAATCTCATTCCTAATCCATTTCAGTTGTTTCTTTTCACGTACTGATTAACTCAGTCCTGATACGCCTTCTGAAAAATGCTGATTTAAACTTCTGAACTGGCAACAGTTTTAACAGTAATCAGGTTGTTAACATAGTTAAGTCTTAAATGTTGAGGAACTCCTGGGTGTGTAATTTACTGTCTTCTCAAACTTTTAGAAAATCAATTTATCCTAATTAGATCAACCCTACAAAGCTCCAGATTTGGTATCAAAATGAATGTCAGTCCATATGTGCCTAGACATGAAATTGGAACAGAGAACTCCTATCATATATGAGGTTGTCCAACATGAAGATACCATAGGTCTTTTATTTGAACCAGAGGAACTAAAGTTGGTTTAAGAAACTAATAGGGACTGGCCTGTTAAGACATCGACTTAATAGTTTTTGAAGGCTGAGTCTGCCTCACACCACAGTAAGACCAAGATATAGATCTTAAAAGTTAACTTTTTTTTTGTTACAATTAACTGTTAAGATCTTATACTACACTGAAGAAAAATATTGAAGGATTATGAACTATATTTAGTTTGATTGTGAATTTGGTGCTTTAATGTTTTATGTCTGAAATTTGCCCCAGTGCTACATATGGAAGTGTGCATATGTGTGTGTTTTGCCATTAAAGTAGGATTCTCCGTTTATGGTACTGTTTTGTTGGTTAATGAAGTGTGCTACCACCCTGCTTCAGCCCCAACTCCTCTATTCAGTGGATGATCAGAAGGTTAAATGGCTTTTTAGAGCAGGAGGTCACAGTAAGGTACTGTCCGTGGAGGATAGGCTTCCAAAGCCACTTGGTATTGACCCCAAATTCTCAAAGTTTGGTGTGATTCTCACATGCTGCTGAGGTTTCCTGGGAAGTGATTAAATGGTAGAATATTGTAATCTGCCTGACTGGGCCACAGAAGATCTGGATTCTGATTCAGGTTTCCTCACCTAACTAGCTATGATACCTTGAGCAAATACCTTGAGGTTCTCTGCCTCAGTTTCCCCATCTGGAAAAGGAGTGGGTTGTACTAGGTAACTGCAGCATTATGTGATTTATGAATTTGGTTGCCATCGCTGCCTATTGGTATGGCAGGGGTAAGAGACTTGGCCTTTCAGTGTCCTGGTTAACCCCTTGTCTTAGGTTGAATTCTCTGGAAGCAGACTCTGAAATGCAGAGTCTGGACAGAAACCTTATTGGGAACAGCTCTCAGGAAATATACCTAAGGGGGTGGGTGAGGAAGGCAGGTTTAGGCAGGCGAAAAGCTGACTTATTACGATGCAATTGCAACTGAAGCCTCAGATCCTAATGGGGAGCTGGGAGGGCCCTTCAGCATTGTTCTCCATTGAGGCAAAGTGATCTGATTTCTGTATCCGTTCATCAGCTGTACCCTGAGAGGGGATGTTACCTTGAGTGAGGCAGGGCCCTATGGCCAAGGTTAGTTACTAGTGATGTGTACTGAGACCAGGAATATGGGCTGGGGAATCTAGCACAGGCCCACAGTAGCCACTCTACTCCAGGAAATACAAAGTTGCCCTTGTCACGTAAAAGACATTGTGGACTTGAGCTTTGGTTTTACAGATGGGATGGAACTATGTCTGAACCTATCCCTATTAGATAAGGAAGCTCCTTCTAAAAGCTTATGTTTCTGCACTATTATTTATATGGAAGAAAAAAAAAAAAACAATTGGAAGGCATCCTGGAAACAATTTAACTGTCTTCTCAATGAAGGAATGCCGCTACAGAAAGATAGTAAAAAATAAATTATTTGCAAACAGGAGTCCAAAACCCAATGTCTTCAGGAGCCAAGTAGCTAAAAATTAACAGCAGCAGGCACGAGCATTAGGCATGAGCATTAGTGGGGACTCTGGCTGACCTGGCCAGTATCTGCCCTTCTGAAGGGTATTTATATTCAAATGTCTTTAAAAGATTACTGAACAATCAAAACACATTTGAAGGTTTTGCTCACATGCCCAGATCATTCTCAAGCCCCTGATAAATAAATGTAAGATTTGGTTTTGCATCATTTAAATGACAAATTATTTATGAATGCCTTTGATTTCCTGAGAAATGAGCACCAAGACCAGCAAGCATTTTGTAAAACTACCTGGAGCTGGTAAGAGAGGCTTGGTTCGGAGAGGGCTTAAACAGAAAATACACTCCTTTTAGACCAGAAATCTCCCTCAAGAAATAACCCTTCCCCCAGCCCATTGCAGAGCACACTTATCTCCTGCTTCGTAAATATCATGGTTGACTGAGAGCAATGCCAAGCTTTATTGGAAAAACCCCATGCTCACAGTGAGCTAGAAATTGCAGTTCTTCTGTTAGCATTTAATTTGTGCTGACTGTACTATAATTCCAGTAAACAGGACATGAGCATTAAATTGATCATTTTTTTTTTAAATTTTACCTTTCACTTGACACTGAGGTGGCGGTAAAAATGCAAGGCAGATCCTTTAGCCTAAAGAAGCTAGCTATGACATTAGAGGAACAGGACAGAAACAAAGGAAGGTACTAACAGTAACAGTTCTCTATCAAAGCTCAGGGCTTGATTCCCTTCCTTTGCAAAGACTGTTCCCTTCAGTTTAAAGGCAGGTCTCAGTGATAGCAGGTGTGAACAAGTTGTCCTTAGCCTGGGACCAGAATTCTGTGGGTAGTTTTGAAACTTGCAGTTCCTTCAAGGTAGACCGTGGGCCACTTAAGCAAGACCCCTTTAAAGCATTTATGACCCATACAAGACTATTATTTATTTACGTCTTTATAACCCTTTTATAATCACACCTCAGTGGGAACCAGGTTGTCCTATTAACGAGCCTCAGGTATCTTCCAGGAACCACCAAGATCCATGGATAAAATGGTGGTGGAGTGTGGCAGGTGTGGGTGCGTGCTGCGAGGCAGGGTAGGAACAGAGAAAAGAGGAGGGAAATGAAAGGGTTGCTTAAAGATCCCCAGAGCAGTACAGTGATGGGAACCTTGATGGGTTGATACCACTGAGGTGAACAGGCCTCCCCTGAACCTTGTGTTGTTTATTATTTACGTGCCGTTAGGCAATCACTAAGGAACTCAGGTGGTGCAGTTGTTAAGCTAACTGAAAGGTCGGCTGTTGGAACCCACCCAGCTGCTCCTTGAGAGAAAGATGTGGCAGCCTGCTTCCGTAAAGATTACAGCCTAGAAAACCCTATGGGGCAGTTCTATTCTCCTACAAGGTCATAATGAGTCACAGTCAACTCAATGGTAACGGGTTTAGACAACCACTCTGTGACTCCTTATACCTCCCTTATAAAGTTGTTGGAAAAAGTAAGATGATACATGCAAAGGTATTAGAATAATAAACACTCAACATTTTTTTTTCAGTTGCCTTGGAGTTAGTTCCAACTCACGGTGACCCCATGTGTGTCAGACTAAAACTGTACTTCATGGGGTTTTCAATGGCTGATTTTTAGAAAGT